CGCAGGGAAACATTTGTTAAATAGAGAACTCATCAAAAATGTGCAAGGCATAGGTCCAAGTGATGGAGATACAAAGAGGTAAAAAAGTGAAGCAAAGGGGACATGCACTGGAAAAAAGCCGAAAATCTTGAGATTAGACAAGAATAACTAAGTGGTAGTGTTGCCAAGGGTGGGGTAAATCCCAGGGCAACGGGGCCAAGGGTTTTGGACAATAAAAAGAACACAAAGGGCAGGATAGGGCAGGCCTGGCTGTGCCTGCAGCATGCCTCCAAATGGCTGACACCATTCCCAGCCTCTCTCCCCATCTTTCAGGCCTAGAACAATACCCACATCTCCTCTAAAGCTTTTCTCAGCCCAAAGACCCAGAGCCTTCACTTAGTAAAAAGAGAGGCCCACACTACTTGGTAATTTTCCACTTTGATAGAGTGTACTATATCCTGCCCTTTCCCTGAGTGGGGAAGTTTGCCCTGGGCTCTGCCACCCACCCACCACCACCACCCGCTCTACTCCACACGCACCCAGCTCTAACTACACTGCCTGTCTTTCCAGGGCTCTGAATCAGACAGGGCTTCAGGCTGGAGCACCCTTTCTACCACGCTCTTTGCCTAGCTAACATCTCCTGCTTAGAAGTCGGTCCCTTCTTGGGGATGCCTTCCCTGCACACCAAGTAGCATGCTGTTCATCCACTATGAGATGAGATGACAGTAGAAGCCAAGATGGCATTATTGGCCTTTATGAAGCAACCAGGGCCAGATCTAGTGTCCTCCACAAGGGCCAGATCTAGTGTCCTCCACACAGTGAGCTCAATAAACACCAGAGGCTTAAGAAATTAAGTGGCTCTCACCATCTAAATTTTAAAATACTTTTTATTTTGAAATAATTAACCATAAATGTATGGATTATTTCTGGACTCAATTCTATTCCCTTGTTTTATATGTCTAGCCTTCTGCCAGTATCACATTGTTTTGATTACTGTAGCTTTGTAGTAAGTTTTGAAATTGAGAAGTGTGAGTCCTCGAATTTTATTCCTTTTCGAGATTGTTTTAGCTATTATGGTTCCCTTGAATTTCCAAATAAATTTTAGGATCAGCTGGACAATTTCTAAAAAATAAAGCAAAACCTAACAAACAAACAAAAACCTCTGGAATTTTAATTGAGATTGCACTGAATGTGTAGATCAACTTGGGGAGTACTGACAATATTAAGTCTTCCTATCCATGAACAAAGGATGTCTTTCCATTATTTAGATCTTAATTTCTTTCAACAATGTTTTGTAGTTCTCAGTATGCAAGTCTCGTACTTCTTCTGTTAAATTTGTTCTTTTCTTTTGTTAAATTTATTCTTAAGTATTTTATTCTATTGAGAGTTACTGTAAATGGGATCATTTCCTTAATTTCATATCCAGATTGTTCACTGCTGATGTGCAGAAATACAATTGATTTTTTTCTTATTGATCCTGTCACAATTCATTTATGTGTGAATTCATTTATTAGTTCTAAAAGTTTTTTTAAGACCCCATGTCATTGTCAAATATTGTTTTACTTCTTACTTTCTAATCTGACTAGGTTTTTGTCAGGTCCAGGAGGGCCCTATTCCTACCCCCTGTAGTGTGGGAACCAGACCCCTCCCTTATCTTTTGTGTGAGAATCAGACCTTGCATCCGGTTGGCAACACTACATACTTACGTCCCGTTTCACTGGACTCTCCTCCCTTCCCTGCCAATTTACTCGCCTGACATATTCCCATCAAAAAAAGCCCACATCAAGCCCCATGTAAGTTTTAAGGTCCCTCGCATTTGGGGCTGACGCCATCTTAGTCTCAGCCTGGCTGTCACTCTGCTAAAATAAACCTTGCTTAACCCTTCTGCCTTGTGCGTTCCTCCCTCGGAGAACCTAACGGTTTTATTCTTCTTGAGTGCCCTGGCTAGAATTTCAAGTACCATGTTGTATAAAAGTAGCCAAGAGCAGATATCCTTGCTTGTTCCTTATCTTTGGGGGTGGGGCGTCAGGAAGCATTCCATCTTTCTCCAGTAAGTGGGATATTAGCTGTGGGCTTTTTGCAGGTGCTCTTTATTGAGCTGAGAAAGTTTCCCTCTATTGCTGAACGCTTTTTTCATGAAAGGGTGTTGGATTTTGCAAGTGCTTTTGTCTATTTGAGATGAACATGTGGTTTCCCTGTTCTTTGTTCTATTAATATAGTATATTATACTGATTTATTTTCAGATGTTAAACTAACCATTCTTGGAATAAAGTATATTTGGTCATAGTATATAATCATTTTTTGTGTTGCTGGATTTGTTTCTCTAGTATTCTGTTGAGGATTTTTACCTCTATAGTCACAAGGGTTACTGTTTTGTAGTTTTCTTGTGATGGCTTTTAGTTTTGGTATCGGGGTAACACTGACCTCACAGAATAAGTTGGAAAGTGTCCTTTTCTCTTCTATTTTTTGAAAGAGTTTGTGAAAGATTAGTATTAATAAAAAAAGTCATTATTAAGAAAATTTTCTAATAAACCAAAAATAGTACAAATAGTGTAATTTATAAACCCTTCCATCCAGTTTCAATAATTATCAATATTCTACCATTCTTATTTCACCTACACTAGCTTCCCAATGTCTGATTTTTTTTAGGGGGTGAAATTATTTTAAAGCAAATCCCAGATATATCATTTCACCCTTAAAGACTTCTTTATTTGTATATGTAAACAAATCTCTAACAGATAAAGACTTTTTAACATAACCAAAATTTAATTTTTTGTTTCACTTAACAAAATCAGCAGTAATTTCTAATGTTATCTAATACCTGGTCAATGTTCAGATTTCCTCAAATGTTTCAAAAATGATTTTTAGAATTAGTTTGAATTAAGATCCAAACAAAGTCCAACAGTGTATTTAGTTGATATAACTCTTTTGATAATAGTTCCCCACCCCCCGACACTCCCTTTTCTCCCCATGCCATTCATTTGATGAGAAAAACAAGGTCAATTTATTGTGTAAAAATTTTTCATGTTCCATTTTTGGCTGGAACACAGATATCTTCATGTGTCTATTTAACTCATTCTTCTATCCCTCATGCTTCTTTTAAACTGAGAGCTGATCTAGATTCAGGTTGTTGTGAACCTACTTATTAGAAGACACTTAATTATATGGCTGTCCCACTTTCAGTATTAAAACAAATCTATGGGTTCAGGTGCTATCAGCCTGATCCATCTATTATAAAGTTCCCCACCAACATTTTTCCTAATGGTTTTAGCAACCACTGACAGTTTGTGCCCTGGTATGTAATTTCAGTAGAAGTTGTAACATAGTGATTTTTTAATTCTTTCAATTCCTCCAAGGCTAGGATTTTTTTACCTTCACAATTCTAGACTCCAGCTCTATATGATTCCTAAATTAGGATGGCACAGCTTTCAGGTGCCATTGTGGAAGCTTTGGGGGCGTTTTTCCTTGTCACAGCATCTGGAGAGTCCTCATGGCATTTATAGGCATAGACTAGATGCTGCACGCTCTACAATTCAAAAGTCTTGTTAGATATTAATGGAGATGTAAAGACTACATAAATTATCTGAGTCCAAGATCATTTTTATATGAACATAAAGTATTTTTTATACGGTTCTAAAATAAATTTTTCCAGTAATATAACTATGATGTTACTGAAGAAACACTATCTACTGTTGGGTTTGTCATTCTCCTAAGGGCTGTTTCAGAAAACTCAAGTTAGTAACAGCAACACAGTTTGCGTATTTGAGTTGCTGATACAACACATCTGTATGCGCCAGCTTTTGTTACTATCGAATTCAAGATAATTCCACATACAACTGCAAATGTTTGACTATGTTTTCCAGTGAAATTTTGCTCAGGCATCTATACAATGAAATACACACTATCTTATTAACTCTTTTTGTTTCTCATTTATATTATAGTTAGGACTTTATACCGATTCCTTTTGAAATTATACATTCGGTAAGTTAGACTATCTATGAATTCTATTTTGAGAGAGTAAAAGATTTTCACAGAATATTTATTTTGAGATGCGCAGTGAGTCTGAGAGAGCTGAGATTACGTACTTAAGGTCTACAAGTCTCTTCCAACCTGATTCAGGGCTTATTCTTAAATCTTGCCACCATATTTTGGTTATCTCACAGTCAGAACATTGTGCTGGGTGTGAGGACACCTGGACCCCATCCCTGCTCTGTCTCTTTATTAGTGGCTTATGACCTTAGGCAGGTCATCTTATCATTCTCCCATTTTTTTTTTAACTAACGAAGGTATATATTTGCAAAACAGTATAAAATAATAATAACAGTTAACATTTACTGAGTGCTTATTATGGCCCCACAGTGAACTCTTCCCCCAACTCTGCCAATAGCACCATTTCTACCACAATTTAGACTCTGAACTGGAAAGTGTCGTCTCAGCCAGAGACTAATGTCTCCCTGGTCCTTATTTGTACCCTTACAGCATAAGTCTCCAGCCCTGAATATTATCATCCTCATCTGCAAAGATTCAGGATGTCACTTGTTCATGCCCCACGCTGTTTTGGAAAAGTTCTGAAGTTGTCAAAAGAGGTCAAGGGACCACAGTGAAATGAAATGTAACAGGCAAGACACTGGGACTACATCCTTTCTGGGAAAGTATCTCTGCATCTCCACATTTTCCCAAAAAGCATGGTCCAGGGTCCTGTACAGACAAACAGCTTTGAAATGAATGAGTGAATCATCTGGGCAGTCACCCAGGAGTACTGCATACAAGCCCCATGGGCACTGACTCCTGGGCTGACTAAGAGGTTCTTTGTGGCCTCTAGAAAGGAGGCAGGAAGCTTTAAGATGCTGGGTAATTAGAGTGACTAGTAGCAGTACAAAAACTCACTGCTCTACTTATATCTCCATTTTCTATCTCCATACACCAAGACTGAGCAGAGAGATGGAGTCAAGTGGTAGGATGGGCATGGCTGGAACCCTTCTGCAGAAGCATGGGCTAACCACCAGGGGCTCTGTACTCACCAGGGAGGCTGCCGGCTGGTGTGTGGGTGCGGTGGGTAAATCCGGAGTGGGTCCACCTCTCTGGCAGTGGCAGGGGGAAACTCCCGGTGGGGACTGCTTACACTAGCCTTGTCCCAGTGCTCATGGATAGGTGTGATGATTCCAGACACAATACGAGACCGAAGTTCCTCACTGTTTTTGTAGGTCCTGTAGGAAGTAGACGAGGTATCAACTGCTTGTTGCTGGCTGGCAACCCTACATACAGTATTTTGGTGGTGGTGGTGGTGGTGGTGGCGGCGGCGGCGGCCGCGACGGCTGCGACAGCCAGAATGGCCCTGACAGCTGTTGGTGTTGCGCTTGGACCGTCTGCAAGTGTGGGAACGGGCTGCCCGGCGTTGTCTCCGAGACTGGGGCCTAAGCTTCTTAGGCATCTGAGTTGCCCCTCCTCATTTACCACCCCATTAGATAGAGGTGAGGGTGTAACGGCACAGGGCCTGGACTGGCTGCTCCTCTGTACCCACCCCATCCCACCCACCCTCAATTGTGTGTTCATAATGTGTCATGGGAAGGGTCATGGAAGGCAAAGGCTCCGTGGGGAGGATGAACTAGGTTCCTCCTAGTAGGCAGGGCTCTAGAGGGCTCAAGGTCCAGTTCTGTCACTAACTCAACGGCTGCTTTGAGCCTCTTTTCTCTGCCTGTAAGAGTCAAGTAAATGAGCTACAGCTGAGGTGTTGAGGCAGACTGACGTAACAAGGAGTAGACAGGACTCTACAGAGTCCGAAAAATCTGTTTTAAAATGAGCTATATCCTGTGTCAAAAAGCAAACCTCACAAATGTAAAAGGCCTGAAATACAGAATATGTTCTCTGACCATATGAAATCATATCAAACAGCAACACAGAAAGGCATTGTATAAATTAGTGGAAATTAAGCAACATAAATCTAGATACAAAGCAATGAATAAAAATTAAAATACAACATATTAAAATATGTGAGATACAGCTAAAGCATTGCTGAGAGGAAACTCTATGGCATTAAATGCTTACCTACAGCTAATAATATACTTAATAATGAAAGGCTGAATACTTTGCCTGTAAGACTGGACACTAGGCAAGGATGTTCTCTTTCATCACTCTTATTTAGCCTAATACTAGAAGTTCCAGCCACTTCAATAAGACAAGAAAAAGCACACAGATTAGAAAGCAAGGAAGAAAACTGCCCCTATTTACAGATGACATGTCTACTTAGAGATTCTCAAGGAATCTACAAAAGAAAACAAAAACAAAAACAAAAAGCCCTCCCAAAACACTGTGAGTTCAATATTACAAGACAAGATACAAGATCAACACACAAAAATAAACTGCATTTCTATATACTAACGATGAACATTTAAAAATCAAAACTAAGAACACCATATATAATCAGCTCTAATCCCCCAAAATAACAAAAACATGTTCAGATTCTGTGACCTTAAAATTACAAAATGATAATGAAATTGAAAAACACCCAAATAAATGAAGACATACCATGTTCATAGTAAAAGTGTCAAGTTTCCCCATTATAGGTTTGATGATTTATTGGTTTAATGCGACTCCTATCAAAATCCCAGCAAAGTTTCTTTTTTTTTTTATAGACATAGATAAGCTTATTCTAAAGTTTATATAGAAAGGCACAGACGTTAGAATAGCCAAAACTATCTTGACAAAGAAGAATTGAATGGAGGGCTTTTTCTACTTAATATTAATGTCTATTATGTATCTACAATAATCAATACTGTGTGATACTGGCAAAGGGATAGACACAAAGATCAATGGAAAAACTAGAGAACCCAGAAACAGACTCGCCCAAGTATAGACAACTGATTTTGACAAAGTTGCAAAGCAATTCAAAAAAGAACAAATGGTGTTGGAACAATTTAACATCCACAGGCAAGAAGCCTGTCTAAATCTCACAACTTATATAAAAATTAACTTAAATTACAGACTTAAATGTAAAACATAAAACTATAAAATGTTTAGGAAAAAAAGGAGAAATTTTTGGGAAATCTAGAGCTAGACAGATTTCTTACACTTGACACCAAAAGCTTGATCCATAAAAACAACTGATAAAATGGGTATTACTAAAATTCAAAACTTTTGCTTTGCAAAAGTCCCTGTTAAGAGAGAGGAAAAACAAACTAAAGGATGGGAGAAAATATTTATAAAACACCATCTAATAAAGGACTTGTATCTGAAATATATCAGGAACTTTCAGGAACACATAAAAAAAAAATCCAACTAGAAAACAGGCAAAGATATGAATGGATATTTTCCCAAAGAAGATATACAGATGGCAAATACACACATGAAAATAATGTTCAACATCATTAACTATTAGAGAAATGTAAATTAAAATCACAATGAAATATTACCAGACATTTATCAGAATAACCAAAATAAAAAATTGTGACAATAACTAATGCTAGCAAAATAAAACTTTAATTAAAAATATATTTATTATATAACCATAAAATGAGATTAGTTTAAATCAGTGGTTTCAGGTCTTCTCTAGCATACAGTGGGGCCCAGGGAGGGCAAGAGAGAAAGCCAAGTAGGTGGGGCACAGGGATCTCCATTTCCTGCCCCTACCCTTTCTACCAGAGCAACTCTAACCAGTTTAATATGTCAATCCTAAAGAACACGGTGCTTGAAGAGTTTCATGTTAGAAAGTATTAGTACCTATAAGAACTTGGAAGTGCTAAGGGCCTGTGGCCCATACATCCCTACAAAGAATAGGTTTCTACTTAAAACACAGAACTTTGGGGACCTTGCTGCTTCCCTGACCAAGATGGGTGGAGGGGATATGTAAATCTAACTCCTTTCCTTTCAATCAGATGAGCTGTGTGTGATATTGTTGGAAGGCCTCTGATCTCCCTATGTAAGATCTTTACCTGTAGAACTCAGGTCTGATTCAAAAACTGCCAACTCTTGAGAGAAAAGTTCTCACACAATTTCTAAGTCTTAGTAGAACTGCCATTTTGGTACCGCAAGACAGCTTGTCATCCTGTCTAATGTAGAAGGGGCATGGCAGAAAGAAATAGGTTTATACTCCTTAGCAAATCAGTTAGCTCATCAAGGGGCACAAATTCTTATCATAGACAGACAAAACATGTCATGATGACCTAACAAGGAGGGCCACATGGGGAAAGAGGACTAGAAGCACTGGCAGCTTAGTGCTGCTAGTACTATGGAAGAGGAGAGAGGGAGGGCCCTTATGATCAAGAGGCAGTCAGTCATACCCTACCTCTCAGAACCTCAGTTTCCATGGAGATGATTCCTAGTGATCAGATTTTTCTGCCTTTGCATGTTTACCAAGAGCTTTAGTCCAGCCCAAAGCGCTATGCTGACATTTCACTTCATCCCCGGAATAACATGCTGAGGTAGTACTATTGTGTCCCTCATTTCACAGTAATCAAAAAACAAAATAAAACACCCCCATACAAAATACCCTAACAGCAAATGTATTCAAAAAAACATCAATGTTTCTTTCTCAGTATTGCTGAGGGGACCAAATGCCCTAATGAGTATGAACAGCTGAATACAGGCCTGGGTTCTTCCACAGCATCTGTCAATTTCTCTCCCAATGGAATTCTAGAATGAAGATGTCAAGAAAGAGACCACATTCCAAATATCCTTCCCTTATCTTCTTAAGTGGTGTGCTGGAGTCACAGTGTGGGCAGCACCCAGAGGAGCAGCTTTGCCAAAGCCTGGCCTGGCCTCACTCCTTCATTCCTTTGTTCACTATATGCAAAACAAAACAATACAAAACAAACAAAAAATCCAGGCCCTGCCCTCAAGGAGATCACTGTAAGGGAGACCAACTCTAATAAGTTAATCATAAAATACCCACCTATTAAATACTTAAAAGGCTGTTTTGAAACATTAAACATGGGTGGGGGCAGGGAAATCTCTCTGAGGAGTTGACATTTAAATTGGAACTGAAAGAGTCAGCTGTGTGAGGTAGTTGGGGAGAGCACTCTAGGCAGAGGGTAGAACTCTGAAGAGATGAGGAGCATGACACCTTGGCTGAGACATAGGAACTAAGGAACAAGTGGCACAGGATGAGGCTAGAAAGGCTGGGCACTAGGCTACAGGCCTTATCAAGGATTTTGTTTTTACCCTCAGAGAAACGAAAATTCACTGAAGTGTTTTGGGGGTTTTCTGGATTTAAAAAAAATTTAATGTACCAATGTAACCAGTTTTAATTGTATTTAAGTACATTCACATTACTGTGCAACCATCACCACCACCCATTTCCAGTTTTTCATCTTGCAAAACTGAATTTCTGTACCTATTAAATAATAATGCCCCATTTCCCCTTGCCCTGAGCCCCTGACAACCACATTTTACTTTCTGACTCTATGAATTTGATTATTCCAGGTACCTCATATAAATGAAACCATACAATATTTGTCCTTTTGTGTAACTTATTTCCCTTAGCACAATGTCTTCAATGCTCATCTGTTGTAGCATGTGTCAGCATTTCCTTCTCTTTTATAGCTGAATAACATTCCATTGTATGTATATACCACATTTTATTTAACCATTCATCTGTCCCATGTATTCATGGACATCTATGTTGCTTCTACCTTTTCATTATTGAGAATAATACCTCAATGAACATGGGTGTGCAAATATCTCTTTATGACTCTGCTTTCAATTCTACTGAATATATGCCCAGAAGTAGAACTGCTGGGTCATATAGTAATTTAATTTTCTGAGGAACTATCATACCACTTTCTACAGTGGCTATACCATTTTATATTTCCACCAATAGTATACAAGGGTTCCAATTTCCCCACATTCTTGCCAATATATGTTATTTTCTGATTTTTGTTGTTATTGCTGGTTTTATAGTAGCCATTCTAATATATGTGAGGTAGTATCACTGAAGGATTTCCAGCAAGGGTTTTAACCATGATCTGATCTGTTTTAAAAAGGCTGGTCTGATTACTGTGTGGGAAATCGACAAGGTGATGAGCAGGAGTGGAAGTTGGGATAGCTGGGATCTCCTTATGTAATGGTAGCATGGAAGAGGGGAGGAGCAAAGAGGTGGCCAGAGTGATGGAGGTAGGTGGTTTGGAAGTCTGAGAGAAGTGGCCAGTTCAAAATAGTTACTGCTGATTATACACAATTAAATGAAACAGGGTATCGAGGCAGTTCTGATGACAGCGAATTTATAGCGATGCCAGGCTTCCTTTAAAACTCTGAGGAGGTCAACAAGGATGGCGGGGAAAGTCCCTAAAATGGAATACAGTAGAAATAAATGGCCCTAACTAGATATCACACAGATAGTTTCATTACACTGATGGAAAAACAAGCATTAATCTAAGTACTTTTTGAATACATCTGACAACATACATCCTCAGTGTGAAACAGTCAAAAGACAAAAAGATCTGGGAAGAAATTGTATTTGAAACAGTAGATTTATTCTTGGTAGGTACTGATGCCGCAGTTCGAAATAATTTGTGTATTTTAAGATAAACAAATAAGTAAATATAGTGATGCTGTTAGGCATCAAGGTTCTCACCACAGAAAAGAAATCCAGGATGGAATAAGAGAATAAGAATCCCATGGTGTTAGATTAAAAATAAAAGTATCAGTTTGAAATTTAAGAAAAAATAACTTTAAGGAAAAAGCTTCCTAGCTCTATTCTCTGTCAAAGCCTGGATGCAATGACATCCTGGGTCTTAACGAGCCCACTCAGGTACAGATTTTGGTTTTTAAATAATATTCCCCACCAACAGAAATCATGGCTTTTCAGAAAAATGGCTGATTCCAAGGCAGGGGCAAGGAAGTACAAGGTGAGACCAGAATACCTTATTGTGCCAGAAAGTAAGGAAACACTCAAAGAAGAATGAGGACATGCCAAAAGGACAAAGGAAGCAGTGTGAAGGGATTTCCACTGGTCAGCTCTGGAATGACTTGAGCATTCAAAGGATGACAAAAATGGACTATAACTTCGAATAAAAAAGAATCCATGAGTCCATACTAATAATAATAAATGAAGAAAGGATGATAAACATAGAAAATTGCTGTTTTATAATTATCGCAATAATAACTGATTCAGGCATGAATCATCAATAGATGCTAAAAGCACTGTGTAAAAGACCATCAAAAAGCAGAATATTCAGTCTGCTAATATACTCCCACGATCACTTATTAAACACAAAGAAAAAGAGATGCCTTTACTATAGAGAAAGCTAGAAGATACTGTCATTACCATGTGATCAAATTGAACAAAATCAACTGTGAGACAGACATCTCATGTCTGATATGAAACTGAGAACACAGCCTCACTTATATAGTATTCATGTTGAAAATGTTCAACTTACATCAAATGATGAGTAAGTAATCTGATACATCTGATCTTGAGGAAAAAATCTGAATATTCTACACAAGAGACTTTAAGTCTTTAAAAATAACAATGCCACAAAAAAGTCTAAGAAACTGTTCTAGATTAAAGGTCATGAAAGAGGCATGAAAATAAATGTAATGGTGATCTTGATTAGATAAGAAAAATAACCTCAAACCAAAAACCGAAAAACTAACTAAAAAGGAAACTGCTGGGATGACTGCAGAACATGAACTATATATTAAATTGTATTAATTTTTTTTAAAGCCTACAGCACCCTGTATTCCTAGGTGGTCTCCCATCCAAGTACTAACCAGGCTGCTGAGCTTCTGAGATCAGACAAGATCAGGCATGTTCAGGGTGGCATGGCCGTAGACTATATCAATGTACTAATGCTACATTTCCTGAGTGTGATAACTGTATTAAGGATATAGAAGAGGGTGCCCTTGTAAAAATAAAAAAAATATATGCTGAAATATTTAGGCGCGAAGGTTCACAAAGTCTGGAAATAATAATCAGATGGTTCAAGAACAAAAAAGCATACAGAAAAATTAGGCCAATGTAGCAAAATGTTTAAAAATCAGTGACTCTAGGTGGTGGGTTATATGAGTGTTCACTGTAATATTTTTGCAAACCATCTCTTCTACTGAGTTGCAAATTTCAAAATAAAAAGTCAAGAGAATGAGAAGACAAGCCCGACGAGGAGAAAACATTTACAAAACACATATATAATAAAGGACTGTTATCCAAAATATACGAAAAACTCCTAAAACTCAACAATAAGAAAAGAACTCAAATAAAAACTGGGCCAAAGTCCTTAACAATCACTTCACCAAAAAAGATACAGATGGCAAATAAATATGTAAAAATATGCTCAACACCGTATGCCATAAGGGAACTGCAAATTAAAACAAGATACCACTACACAGCTATTAGAATGGCCAAAATCTGAAACACTACCGCCACCAAATGCTGATAAGGATGTGGAGCAACAGGAACTCTCATTCACTGCTGGTGGGAACACAAAATGGTACAAGCACTCTGAAAGACCGTTTGTCAGTTTCTTACAAACCTAAACATAGTCCAACACCACCAAGAATGAACCCTACAGTAAACTGGACTTTGGGTAATAATGTGTCAATATAGGTTCACCCATTTAAAAAAAAAGGTACCACTTTGGTGTGCTGATAGTGGGATGTTGACAGTGAAGGAGGCTATACATATATGTGTGTAGAGGGGGTGCAAGAGGTACGTGAGATCTCTGCACTTGTTTAGTTTTGCTGGGAACCTAAAACTGCTCTAAAAAAATTAAATGAATTTTTTTTTTTTAAAGTTAGGGGTGGAGTGGAGACCTGATAGGTACACTTTTCCCAGGAGCCTACTCTGACTGACCCCACTGATCCAGCTGCATCTCTATTCTGAAGCCAATGCAGCTCTTGTGGACACTTGATTACATGATTTTATTTCATGTGGCATTTCTCACATAAGTCTTCTCTTCAAAGAAATTAAAAACAGAAGAACTGAGAAATAACTGTGCTCAGAAGTGAAAGATCCTTCTGTTGACCTTCCTTAGTTCTCTGAACACCTCTACCCCATTCCTGGTATCTAGCCACTGGTTCTCTCTTCTTCTTCCCAGGGAAAGCTATCACTTAGAAGTACCTGTGGAAGTCAACCAGGTGTTCTGAATCGATATAATCATCCAAGTTCAAGGTCAAGTCTGATACTTGCTGTGAGCCATATTCCTAAAAAATAAAAATAAAAATGAAAGACTGGGAATATTTTTTGTTTAATGAGTGGATTAGTGACGTGAGAGTGACAATATTCAACCTCAAGAAAAACAGATGTGCACAAAGGGACATATATAAGGACAAATTTTAATACAGGAAATACCCTTCTGATGCTTGGGGACTTCTCTAATTTAGGAATATTGTTTTCCTGAGGCAGAGCTCAGAAAATCTACTTCTAAGCTCTTTTGCAATTTGGGTGCAGGCATGAAATTGAGGTGCTACTTGGATGCACAACTTCGACTTGGAGGAGGGCAGCTTGAGGAAGCAGGCCAAGCACCGAACAGGCATCTTGCTAATGAGGGGGGTCACAGCATCAGTGGCTCATGAGAAGGGGCACCAGGGCTGGCAGTATTGGCCAGTATCTAATGCCTCAGGATGGTGGCAGCAGCACTGGTTTCCATGGCATGGTTTGGGGCACTATCCTGGAAGTTCAGCCTTGAACCTGTTTTTCCAGACCTTCCAATGATTCAATGAGCTATCCCAGTTCTTTTAATAAATCCAATCTGTTTAAAACTACTATAAGGCGAGTTTGTTGTCTATAACTAAGAACTTTGTTTCATACAAGAGCTAAACAGTCATCAAAAAAGAAAGAGATAAATTGTGATATTATGGTATTCTGCATAGTAGTTAAAATGAGTAAAGTATAATATCTACATGCATTCCCATGTAAAGACCTCTAAAACATATTAAAATAGAAAAAGCCAGATACAGTATAATACAGACTGCATGATACTTTTATATGAACACACGTGATCATGATAAAACTTAAAAAGAGAGCCTTTCCTCTCATGGTACTTATAGTCCAGTGGCAGAATACAAACATTAACCTAAAACATAAATAAGTACATAATTATATTGTGGTATCAGGCAGGGAAAAAAAATAATAAAGTAAGGAGGCACAATTTAGATATTTTCTGGCAAGTAAGAATAGTTAGACAGTACTGAACTTTTTGAGGAAGTGAAAAATGAGAGGAAGTTAGCCAGGCTAAAGAAAGGATGTAGGGTGGGGTGTGTGTGGTGGCCCACTGGAGGGAAAGAAAAAAGAGCTTTCCAGCATAGGGAACAAGAAGTGTAAAGACTTTGGGCAGCAGAGAGCTAGGCTTATCGAAAGAACTAAAAGTAGCCCCTTGGGGCTACAGTAAGTTTTTTCCTCCCAGGTTCTCACTAAATGGATTTATCTTAATTTACTTAACCATTCTCCTGTGATGGAAAGGTTCCTCCTTTATAATAACAGGCAATGAAAATCTTTGAGCATAAAGCTTTTCTATATTTAGTGTTCTTGCCTCAGGATAAAGTTCCAGAAGTAGGATTAATGAGTAAAGGCTTCACAAATATTTAGGGCTCTTCATCCATAGCATTAAATGGGTTTCAAAAAGGCGATCCCAATGTCCATCCCAACCAGCAGACTCTTCCATGTCTCAGAGACTCACCAGCACATTGATGATCATGCTATTCTCCACAGTGACAGCCTTCACAAGGAGCTTTCTGGACCCATCCTTAGACTCATACCGGAGGACATACAGGTCTTTATTGTTGTTCCATTCGGCAGGCAGCAGTTCTGATTTCTTATCACTGGGACCTGGCTGAGAAGACACCAGGGTTGAGGAGGAAGGTCAGGACTTCAAAAGACAGAGTTATAAAAGACCTTATAGACCAGTTAATCCCATTCCTCACTTCACAGATGAGGGCATGGAGATCAGAAGAAAAAAAAAGTCCAAGGCCCTATACCAAGTTAGAAGTCTGGGACCCAGGTCCCTAGACTCCTGCTCTTGATCCTCTCTCACCTCTGACTGCCTCTGTGGCACTGCAGTGGAACCTGTCAAGAACCTGTTGCCTTGTTCAATAATAATTTCCTCACCATCCCCTGGCCAAGAGTAAGGCAAATCATCTGAAGGGCTACTGTGAAATTCCAAGGCAGTGTTTTTCAAAGTTTGAAACTTGGGCCATTGGCAATAGAATCACTGAAGTGTTGATGAAAAATACAGATTTTAATGCACTCCCCCCTTCAGACTATTATAATGGTTTAACAAAAATTATTAATTTTCATATAAAATTAGCGTATGTACAAGATACAAAAGAATTACAAGATGCACACCTATGTATCTACCACCAGCTTAAGAAATAGAACAATGCCAAAACACTAAAGCCTTGAGTAGCATACATCCAATGAAGCTCCCTCTTCTCCCTAATGGGTAATTACCACTCAGTATTTCTAAAATATTATTTACTCTCCTTGTAGTTATATTACTACAAACACAACCCTAATGTTTTTTAATTTTATACAAATTGCATCACTTTTATCACTTGCTTTTTTCATTCAAATTTTCTGAGCTTCATCCACGTCAATGCATTTAACTATAGTTGATTCACTATATTGCATTACATTGCTTATACAGTTCACAGCTATACAGCATACCATTGTATGAACATGTTGCAAATGACATTCTCACTTTTTGATATTTGGAGTGTATACAGTTTAGCTATTATAAAAACTGCCACTGTGAACATCCTGTACACATCTCCTCGTACACATGTGGATGAATTTCTATACAGTATGTCTGGTATAGATTTATACTCCCATCAGAAATGTATAAGAGTTCTTGATGTTCCATGCAGTCAGCAACATTGCTGTTGTCCAATATTTAAATTTCTGCTAACTAGGGTTTGTAAAAATGCATCACTCTGAGTTGTAATGTTTTCCTTTTTTTAATTAGTAATCCTAGGACTTTCCTTTTATACACTAAAGTTTTAGAACTAGTTCTCAAACTATTTCTACAGTAAAAATTAATATAGTGATTTCCAGGTGGGAAAATATTTCTTAAACAAGATTGACAAAAGAATAAAAGTGCTATCTTTGAGACCTTTCATAATTTAAAGCTTATGTTCAACAAGAGACACAACAAAGTTAATAAGCAGCCTCAGGCTGGATGAGATATTTGCCACGGGTACAAATGGAAAGAATTAATAACTAGCACATAAAAGGAATGCCTAGGAAATTAACAATAAAAGTTGGGAACCCACTTGAAAAACTGGCAAAAGATATGAACAAACAAAAGGTAAGAGCGGCTAATGGTGTATAAAGGGTTGTTCAACTTGACCAGCACTCAGAGGAGCGCAGGTTGAAATAATGAGATACCATGTTATACCCATCAGACTGGTATTACCCATTTTTCTATTTTTGCCAGGTGTTTATGTAGGTGTGGGGAGAATGGTGGCCATTTAAACTCTTAGAGCCACTCAGGAGAGCAATCTGGCAGGATTTAGTGCAATAGGATGAGCTGATGCACCATGACTCTCCAATCCAGGAAGAAACTATGCACAGAGGACATAACAAGGGATTTCATCACGACCTTGTCACGGACATCAAAGTGGAGGTAAAATGCAAAATATGCTCACAGAGGAATATAATATAGCAGTGAGAAGGAACAAACTGGGTCTAATTATAGCATTACAGATAAAAGTAAAAAAATATGACTTAAAGAAAAGTTAAGAAAAGAATGAGATTTATAGCTGAGTATTTTTTATGTAAAAAGTTTAAAAAACAAAAAAAAATCTATTTTTTTTTGGATGAATATTTACATAGCTATATATGGAAGAAGTGGAGTGGGAAATTTGTATTCATGAGACTGTAGTGGGAGAGAAGTGGAACCAAACATAAAGAACAAGGGCAAAAGACAGGTCCAGAAACGCAGGCCTTACACACCCCAAGGACAGCAAGGGGCCAAGAGTGGAGAATTGTGGGCCCCTCCTCTTTGGTCACCCCTGGTACTTAGGAATCCAATGGGGGAAGAGATCGCAAATGAAATTCAAGATGTTGCAACTGGTATGGTTTAAAACTTGGCTGAATGACAAGGAAATTCACAAGCCTGAAGCAGAGAAATGACAAAAAAAAAAGTGAAACTGATCAAACTACTCTGTTAAAATGAAATTCCCCTGTTACCCCAACTAGGTAAATTTCCTGTAACATGTTTAATTTTGTGGATTTAAGGTTTATTTTGGAAGCCAAGAATTAGATAACATGCTTGTCTTTGTTGTTAAGGGCCTTTGGATTTATATTTATATCCTCCATCTACAGCATTTTTCTTGGAATGTTGATAATTCGGTATGTTCATTATCCCATAACCTCTGGCTTCCAGAACAAGAGAGAATTCTGGTGCTTCTCACTGCAGTGGAACCAATGTTCCCCAGCCCAAGGGCAGCCCTGATATGGGGAAAACAAGTGGGACTGAAGGAGACTGGCTCTGGAGATATCAGGCCAAACATGGCATTCAACTGCCCTCCAGGCCCTGACATTAAATATCGGGCCTCCCAGCAAACTACAATTGGAAAGTAGCCAAAGTGAATGGTTGTGTAGTTTAACTTCCTGGAATGAAAACTTTGAGTTGACAGTAAGTCAGGCACAGACTGGGTTTGGCATTCAGAGCTTCTGGTTGCTCTGGAGAAAATTTTTTCCCAGCCAGGTCTACCAGACTGGCTCCCAAAAAGCAAATATAGTTTTCCCCTTAGGCAAACTCCTGAGACTGGAAACATTCTTTAGTGGTCATGAGTTCATCGCAGCGCCTCTGGGCTAAAATGCACCCAAAGAAACTCTAACATCATTTTGGGCATTTTCTTTCATTGTAATCCTTAGATTCCTACAACATAAAACAAAATTCTCTACCTTGAGTCCATGGCCGCCTCTATTCCCCCTGCCACCTAAACCACCTGACAGAGCTGTAAAGCTCTTATGAAGCATGGTGCTGACTTCAAGAAAGAAATCCAAATTTAAATACTGGATTTTTATTGAAGCCAATGGCTGGCTTAACTGGTCTCCTAATCGAGTTTTATGTACACAATTCCCCTGTACCAGAGGAAACAAAATCAAAGGGAAAAGCAGACAATTGAAATTTTTATTTAACTGCCAAAATATTATATGATCAAATACGTATATACTTTCAGGACCTTCCTCACTCTCTTATCACTCACAGAAAGGCGGGGAGCAGGAGGCAACATACACATACTCTGCGGTTGGCAGACACTACTGGTCTCTGCTGAGTCTTCTGGTCCCAGGCCAGAAAATTAAACCTTCTCTTAAATAAATTAATAGGAAAGATGCCTCTCCAAATGGCTTTAACTCTGAATGAAAGTAGACTCAGCAGAAGTGAGAGGAGGACAGGTGCAACCTGAGCTCGAATGGCACTTAAAAGACAGGGCAAAGAGAAGCAAAAATACACTCTAGTGTGCAACACAAACACCTGTTCTTTCAGGGGTATACATGATTTAGCACTTGGGTAGACATATGGGCAGTGGACAATGCCTTACAAAAGCCTTATCCCCACTCTCCCTGGCCTCCCCTATGATGTCTGGAGGTAGCATCTTTTTCTGGTCTGCATGAACTCAACCCATGAACAGAGTGGAGCCAGACGGACTTTTGGAAATTAGTTAAGGATCTTTCATTTATTTTTTAAAACCAGTATTAAAATAAGATCGTATTCTTTCTGCACATTTCACCTGAAAATTTCTGGGCCCAGAGTATGGAAAGGGGATGATGCTGACTGGAAGGAGGCAATAACCGACATGAACTGATGTCCCTAAGCTGTCAAAGTGACAGAGTCGCTGACAGGATGTGAGAGGGAATGAGTGGTGGGTGTAGATTTGTAGTGTTGATATGGATCTGTAGAATGGGGAGAAAAGAAAGGAGTCAAGCAGGCCCTGTGTAACGCGTTCCTGTTCCCAGAGGAAGAGGTTCTGACAGTGTGTCTGAATAGTAGTCGCTCGCTGGAAGTATATAAGGTGAGTGAAATATGTGAAGAGGGGCAGAGAATAGAACAGACGTGTCAGATCTGAAGGACAGTGCAAGGGGTGATGGGAAGCTCCAATGTCAGGACCCAATCTTATTCCCCTCTCCCATTCCACTGTCCCCTGCACATCCTACGGGTTCCTGGGAGAACTTCCCAGGAAAAAGTAAAATAAAATGACTGGGGCAAGTGAAAGAGTTGTTAAATATTAGAAAGCTGGACTGGGGCAAGTGCGTAGACATAAGATTTCTGTTGGGGAGGCTATACACTGATAGGGGAAGCCTGCCACTTGTGAATGGGGGCCTTGTCTCTACTTGGTCGCAGAGTCTAAAATAATGAAAGGCAAGGTAAGTGGGCAGAGTGCAGGGTGACTAGAAAGGCCAGGAACAGAGGCATCCGGGGGGAAGAAATGGTTCCTGTTTCCAGGTGTGTATATGTGAAAGACTGGCCCTTCTTTTCCAGCTTTATCTTCAGTCTCATAGACCACACAAGGGATTAAGTGTGAGCCTGGAGGTGGGGAAGGGGGGTGCTGAGTGTATATCTGAAGTCTCAATGAGAAACTTGAGGTCTAGGGGGAAAAAAGAAGAAAAGACAGAAATCTATGAGTTCTTGTGTTTCTGATTTCTATTGCTGAGGGCAGAGAATGAGAGGGTGGTCTTGGTCACTAATTCTAAGAAACAGAGGAATGGAGCGGCAAGGGATTAGGGTGAGGGAGTACCTGGCCCCAAGTACTCAGGATGTGTAATCCATCTTTGAGGAGGGATCCCTAAAACTCTTTGTCAGGAGAGGAAAAATTAAGACTATAGATGTATATCTGAGAAACTAGACAAGGATTAGGGAGTTTGAAAACTGAAGCAGTTGGAGAATAAGGTTAAAATCTTACTTAAGATGCAAGGGGTGAGGTGCCCTGCTCCCCAAGGCTGGTCTGGGTTCTGAGAGTGAGAAGAAAGTGACAGTGAGGGGAATGCTTGGAGTTGTGAGTGTGTGTACATGGTGACTGTGGCTGGAAGGATATTTTCTCTGATGGAGTAGAAGGGAAATGAATTAGTGAGGTAGGCTGGGCCCAGAAGTCCCAGGCTCTGTAGGGATGACAAGCTCCCCCCTACCCCGCCCCCCCACACCACCAAGGGGCAGAGCCTGAGGATGGGAGAGCAGGAGGGCCTGGTCCTGTAAGGACAGCTGTGGGGAGGAAACCTTACCTGGCCCTTAAACACCCAGGGTGTATGTGTGTATATGCCTGTTTCCCAGAGCCCCGAATTGGGGATGACAGCGATGAGTGGGATGCACTGGACCCTTGACAGGGGCTGAGTAGGTAAAGCTCACTCCTATACCTGTGCTTGGATTCAGTTATCTGGAGGAGGCTAGAGTACAGTATGAGAGCAGTACTGAATACAGCTCCCCACCCCCCACTGCGTGCGAAGGAGCTTAGTGGACTTCATTCAGGTAGGTGTGGAATGCACAGGGTAACTATACCCGTCAGGTGCCAGCTCCACATAATCCTGGTCTGGGAGACTGCTAGGCTGAGCTGAATTGAGTTTCCATCCAAGGATTTTCAATCGTGTGTCAGCTGTATTGTGAGGGGCTTTGGGCTGAGCTGGAACAGTAGAGCACAACCCCAACCCATAGACTACCATACCATTGGTGTCGTGAACCCGAGGTTACGGAATTGGGAGGGGGAAAGGTCAGACGCTCTAGACCAGGCCTTCGGTCCTATGGGTTTGAGCAGAGGACACCTTACCCCCTCCACCCTGGCCCCGAACTGTCTCCGTGGCGTACCTACCTGGTCGCCGGCACCCAAGCTGTAGTAGCCGTGCGTCACCACTTCCCAGTGCAGGAAGCAGACGAGCGCGTCCTGCGCGCAGGTGATAGACGGCGCCGCCGACGCAAACAATACCTCCAAGCCCGCCATATGCGCCTCCGGCTTCTGCGGACAAAGGAAGGAAATAAGGAAGTGCCGTGAGCCGATCTGGCCCTCCGAGTACTGATGACGCCACTCCGATACTCCACTCGTCCCCGCCGCGTCTCTGCTCGCCGTCAAAATGGAGACGCCCAGGGGTGGGGGCGCGGCTGCCGGAAGTAGCTCTAAAGGCCGGGGCAGCTGAGCGAGCGCGCCGGGGCTGAAACCCGAGCGTGACGCGTAAAGGTTCCGCCAGCAGCGCGCGAATGTGGCTCCTGGTCGAGCTGCCCTTCAAAGCTGGAATCACCTCTTCCCGGGTTGCTAGCAAGACCACTGCAGGCTGCGTGTTGCGTCCTCCTGGAGCGTTGAGCCAGACTGCCTGCCCACAGAATGGGATGGGCTTATGCTAGTAGGGTAAGAGTTTAAGAAATATGGCTGAAATATATTCATCATAATAATAATTGGCTCATATACAGAGCTTGCTACGTGCCACATTACTCGAAAAGCTTTTCTTTTATTCGTTTATTTAATCTTTGCATCCTAACCTTTAAGTTTAGTATTAACGATACCCCCATTTTACAGTTGGGTGAACGGAGTAGCAGAGATGGCACGTTTTATTAAATATTGTGTGCTAGATCCTGTGCCAAAATCTTTACATCACCCTAATAATAATTCTATGAGTTATATTCCATTGTCATCCCCATTTTGCAGATGACAAAACCAGCTCAGAGAGTTGAAACCATTTCTCCCTAAAAGACACAGCTGCCAGCCGCAGAGCTGGAGCTCCTGATCCACTACCAAATTTCAGTCGCTGTTTTTTTTGTTTTTGTTTTTTGTTTTTTGTTTTGCCTATCTCCATGATTTTTACCACCTACTATTTCTTCGACAAGTTTCTCGAAATCCACTTACTGTTTTTACAAAAATAAATTTAGTTTCTCATCTATGTCAGCACCCTGCTGCAAGCCACCTTCATACCTCATTTGGATGCCTGCACCAGCCTCTGAAATGCCCTACTCCATCTCTTCCTCCCTAAAGTCTATTTTCACTCAGCAACTAGAGATTCTGTTAGAACACAAGTCAGATCACATCCCTCCTCTACTCAAAACCCTCCTGGGGCTCCCATCACACTCAAAGGAAAAGTAAAGTCCTCTCCATGGTCTTTAGGAATCTGCATATAGTCTGTGCCCCCTACCCCCACCCCTTACCTCTTTCTAACATCATCTCTTCCAGCTCTCCCCTCATCACCTGCATTCTTGGCTGCAATAATTTTGACTCCTGTCTTCTCTCACACCCATCTGATACAACAGCAAAGCTAGTGAACTTTACTCGCAAAATATATTCTGAATCTAACCACTTCCTGCCACCTTACTGCCTCCATCCTGGTCTGATCCTCTAGCATCTTGTACTTGGACTATTACCGTAGCTTCCTACCCTTCTCCCTCTTCCACACATTGTTCTCCAGGCCTTTGCACGTACTGTTGGCTGTGCCTGGAGTGCTCCTTCCCCAAACATCAGCATGGGTTGTTCCTTCTTTTGAAGTGACTCCTTTCCCCCACCTCCTACTAGCCTCAGCAGAGGGCTTCCCTGACACTTATCATAACCCGACTCTATATTAGGTATTCGTTTGTTTGGTTAATAACTGTCTTCCTACTAGACTTGACAAGGGAGCGGGCAGGGACTGTGTCTGTCTTGTGCACAGGTATGCGTGAATGCCTTCCCGGCTCAATATATATGTACAGAATGAATGAATGATGATGAACGAATGAATCATTGGCCTGAGATTAACCCACCTGGGCTAGACTCACCCCTTTGCAGTCTACCACTCGCTTTGTTATCTGGCCCTATATCTCTGCAAATTTTGTGTTCCTGGAGTTCCCCTGGGATGCCCAGATTCTTGAATCCCACCTGCAGAGATTCTTGCTGAGCAGGTTTGAGATGGAGTTCAAGCATGTTTACTGCACTCTGGGTGGTGCTAAAGCTGGTGGCCATGGAAAAAAGCTGTTTGCTCTTTCTACCAAGAAGTACTTTCAGGCATCCCTGCTTTCGCTTGCTCTGTCTCTTTTGCTTGCAGTTTCCTTCCCCAGTTATGGAAAATTCCACCAATTCATTCATTCATTCATTCATTCATTCACTAAACCTCCACAGGCTGGGTTTCCATAGATAGTGTTACAGTCTGTACTGCACAAAGGTGCCCACCTAGTGGCAGCCTTATTCCTAAGTGCCTACTGTGAGCCAGGCCCAGATGAAAAAACTGTAGTTCCAGCCACTATGGAACTCACTGTCTAGTGTTAAAAAAATAAAAATTAGACAAAGGTAACCCAGTGTGAAAACTGTCATGACAGAGGCACTTGGAGGACTGTGCAAGCCTAAGGGCGCAGCTAATTCAGGCTAGGGGTCCAGAGGATTTGAGTGATTTATTTGGGAGCTGATTCCAGAAAATAGCAATAAGGAAATGGGGACGTGAGACAAAGAAAGGAAGGCAGCCAATAGGTGTTAAATGATCAAGCCAAGGTGTTACCTCTGGGCACCTGGAACTTGGTTCTGCCTGGCAACTCTGGGAGGCAGTGTAGGACATGTCTCAGAGTTGTCCCAATTGAGCAAAGGAACTGGGGTATTTCTCCCTGTCTGCCACAGGTTGAGGGCTCCTTCTGGGGGCATGAAAAGCCCTCAGGCAGAGAATAGCAGAGTTTAGAGAAAGCAGCCTTTGGTGCTTAGAGGTGAGTGCTGGAGTGAGCAGGGCATAGTGGCATCTGCTATGTCCCAATCCCCACTAAGGGTGATCCATACCTTTGAGAGCTTGTGGCTCAGCAGCCAGCACGGAGTAGGCACTAGTATCTGTCTACTGAAAGAATGAGGCGGGCTTTTTTTCTTGCACTAGGCTGAGTCCCCTGAGGGCCAGGTCTGTGTTCCATCAACCCTGCACCCCAGGGTCTCCAGGGTCCTCTATGGATAGGAACAAATAGGAGGGTCCCCTGGGGCTGGAGAGTGTCTGCATCTGCCCCGGTCCATCCACCACTTCCTGTGAACTTACCTGTAACAACAAAAGTCTCAGTTGTCCCTGTGTGGCCTGCGAGTAGCTAAGAAGGGAAGCAGGTGGAAGGTGCCTCCCTAGCTAAGCCCCCACTGCCTGGGCAATGCAGAGCTCATGCCAGAGATGAGGGCCCATGATGATGGAAAGAACATGGCAGGTGGCTGTAGCCACAAGTTCCTGGTTGCCAAGTGACAGCAATGTGAGTATTCCAAGCTCCCTGGAAACTGTCTCTCTGGAAACTGTGGAGAGGTGAGCAAAAGGCCAGGGCCCAGACGGGCACTGAGGTAGAATCATTTACCACTGGAATCCTTCTGTTCCTTTTGCCTAACATCAGTCTGACCACTTCACCTCCTCCAGGAAGCTCTCCATGATTAATATTGTTCAATACTAACTGGAACCCAAGACTTTTCATTCCCCTTGTCAGTGGGGTGCCCAGCATAGTTGACACCTGGAGGAGATAACTCTCTTTTAAATAATATAACTTTACTATCACCCCATTTGTTTTTTTGAAAGATTTTTTTATTGCGATAATATGAAATTTAACTGTCTTAACCATTAAAAGTGTACAGTTGAATAGTATTAAGTACATTTACATTGTTGTGCTACGATTACCACGCCATCCATCTTCAGAACTCTTTTTATCTTGTAAAACTGAAACTCTGTACCCATTAAACAATAGCTTCCCATTCCTCCCTCCTCCCAGTCCCTGGCAACCACCCTTCTACTTTCTGTCTCTAAAGTTTTGACTAATCTAGATACCTTGTATAAATGGAATCATATGGTATTTGTCTTTTTGTGACTGGCTTATTTCACAGCATATTGTCTTCATGGTTCATCTATGTTGTGGCATGTGTCAGAATTTCTTCCTTTCTAAGGCTTAATAATATTCATTGTCTATATGTATATCCATCCATATTTCAATATATATCCACGATGGAATATTTATATCTGTATTTATCACATTTTGTTTATTCATTGATCTGTTGATGGACACTTGGCTTATTGCAACTAATGCTGCTGTGAGCATGGATGAATAACTATCTGTTCAAGACTCTGCTTTCAATTCTTTGGAAGGAGAATTGCTAAATCAATTGTAATTCTATTTTAAAGTTTTTGAGGAATCGCCATACTGTTTTCCACATTGGCTGTACCATTTTACATTCCCACCAACAATGCACAAGTGTTCCCCTTTCTCCACATCCTTGCCAACAGCTGTTATTTACTAAAAAGTCATCACCATACCCCAGGTCATCTACATTTTCTCCTATGTTTTCTTCTAGGAGCTTTATAGTTTTGAATTCTATATTTAGGTCTGTGATTCATTTTGAGTTAATTTTGTGAAGGATGTGAGGTCTGTGTCCAGATTCTTTTTTTTTTTTTTTTTGCATGTGGATGTCCAGCTGTTCCAGAATATTGTTTTTTATTATAATGCCTTTACTCCTTTGTGAAAGATTAGTTGACCATATTTATTTGGGTCTATTTCTAAGGTCTCTATTCTGTTCCATCAATCTCTTTATCCTTTCACCAATACCACGCTGTCTTGATTATTGTAGCTATATAGTAAGTTTTGAAGTCAGGTAATGTCAGTCCTCTAACTTTGTTCTTCTCCTTCGATATAATATTTACTCTTCGGGGTCTTTTGCTTCTGAATTTAAGCTTTAGAGTAAGTATGTCAATATTCATAAAATAATTTGTTGGGATTTTCACTGAGATTCATAAATCAAGTTTAGAAGACCTGACATCTTAAAAATATTGAGTCTTACTATCCATGAACATGGAATATCTCTCCTTTTAGTTAATTTTTCTTTGATTTCTTTTATCACAGTTTTGTAGTGTTCCTTTCATAGCTTTTGAATTTCTGGTGGAATTTCAAGAGTTCTCTGTATATTCTGTGTATTAATCTCCTATCAGATATATGATTTGCAAATATATTCCCTCACTTTGTGGGTTGCCTTTTTACTTTGTCGATAGTGTCCTTAGATGTACAAAAGTTTTTAATTTTTGTCAAGTTCAAGTTGCTTATTTTTAATTTGTTACCTGTGCTTTTGGTGTCAGATCTAGGAAATCGCTGTCAAATCCAATGTCATGAAGTTTTTACCCTATGTTTTCTTCTAACATTTTTATAGTTTTAGGTCTTACATTTAGGACTTTGATCCATTTCGAGTTCATTTTTGTGTATGGTGTGAGTTAGGGGTCCATCTTCATTCTTTTGCATGTGGATATCCAGTTTTCCTAGCACCATTTGTTGTAAAGACTGTCCTTTCCCCATGAATGGTCTTGGCATCCTTGTCAAAAATCATTTGACCTTATATGATAGGGTTTATTTCTGTTCCATTGTTATATGTCTATGTCTATCTTTATTTATTTATTTATTTAGTTAGTT